AGAGACAGGGTCTCACTATGTCAAGGCTGTGGTGGCCGTGATTGCGCCACTGCACTCCAGCGTGGGCGACAGAAGTGAGACCCCGACTCAAAAAAAGAAGGAAGTCCTGCCATTCGTGGCAACATGGAGGAGGAGGCTGGAGGGCGTTATGTCAAGCAAAATAAGTCAGACAGACAAATATTGTGTGGTCTCTGGCGTGTGCAGAAGCTAAAAGAAATTGAGCTCCTGGGGGCAGAGAGTGGACGTGTAGGTAGAGGCTGAGGAGGCCAGGGAAGTTGAGGCTGAGAAGAGGCGGTGACGCTGACCGAGTCCTAGCCAGGTGGGCAGAATGAGTTCTGGTGTCTGCAGCACCGTGGAGTGATTACGGTCAACTGTAATTATGGAGTTACACATCTTTTCAGGAAGCTAGAAGAGAAGATTTTGAGTGCTCCTAACAAAACGTTTGGGGTGATAAATGCTGTGACTTTGTGCTTTAATGTAATTCAGTTCAAATTGAGGCTGGGCTCGGTGGCTCAGCCTGTAATCCCAGCACTTTGGGAGGCCAAGGTGAGTGGATTGCCTGAGCCCACAGGGTCAGACCCATCCAGGCAACTGGGTGAGACCTCGTCTCTACAATAAACTAAAAATTAGCCATGCGTGGTAGCGCACGCCTATAGTCCCGGCTACTTGGAAGGCTGAGGCAGAAGGATCACGGAGCCCAGCAGGTCGAGGCTGTGGTGGCCGGGAGCGTGCCACTGCACTCTAGTCTGGACGACAGAGTGAGACTCCAACTCAAAAAAGAAAAGAAATCGAGCAGGGCTTCACCGGACACTGGATCGCATTGCCCTGGTGTGATCATTATACACTGTATACACATATCAAAATATCCTTCCATATCTCATTAAAAATAGCAAAATAAACAGCATTAGCCAGGCAAGGTGATTCACGCCTGTAATCCCAGCATTTGGGGAGGTGGGGGCGAGAGGATTGCCTGAGCTCATGGGTTCTAGACCAGCCTAGGCAACATGATGAGACTTTGTCTCTACAATAAGTCAAAAAATCAGCTGGGCATGGTGGTGCACGCCTGTGGTTCCAGCTACTTGGAAGGCTGAGGCGGAAGGATTGTCTTAGCCCAGCAGGTTGAGGCTGAGGTGGCCGTAAGTGTGCTACTGCACTCCAGCCTGGGTGACAGAGTGAGACTCCAACTCAAAAAAAAAAAAAAAAAGAAAAGAAA